CAAAGAACATACAGATAGAATGAATCAAAGTAAAAAGTTATAGCAAAAATAGATGAAATGATAAAGCTAATAGCCTTGCGAAGAAGGAAACATTAAGTAGGAAAATAATTTTTCTAGAAGAAGTTAGTCACAAAGAGATAGAGTACTGCCTAGAGTAGAAAAACAAGTGAATAGACATACCTGCAAGACTTCTATATAAAATAGTAACAAATACCAAACTGAAAATAGAGTGAAAAGAAACAATAGCAATCAAGAATATTGAACTAGAAGCAGAAGTAATGATATATGATTAGGCATACTTTTGGAGAAGACTAAATTTATCTAAAGAAGTATACTGCCTAATAAGAAGAAGCAGTACAAAAAGAAGTGCTTTTATGAAATATATATTGAACAAGCTTTCGATATTGAAAGAATTTAATAGAAGAAAGCCAGATATATATACAATAGCAGAATGCCAAGTTTGCCAAAACAAAGTTAAAAAAACACAAGAACATTTGGCATCATGTAAGGAACAAGCAAATCTATAGAAATAGATACAGAAAGTATCTATTATGACAGCATAAAATAGTTTAAAAGAAGAAAAAAAGATATAAGTCCCACCTCAAGTATTATATATGGCACTTTTTGGACAAACAGAGCAAGAAGAAATAGAAATAAGGAAAGCACTGATCAAAAGCCTAATTCCAAGAATAATACAAGACAGGTTATTTCAAATTTTAAGTATAAAAACAAGACAATATTTTGCAAACATATTAGCAAAACAACATGAAATACATTCAATGAACAAGTCTGGAGAATCCATTATGAAAAAGTTAACATATAAAAAAAAAAAAGAGGAATAACAAGTAAAGAGAAAAAAGAAAACTAAAGGAAAAGAAAAGCCAAGTATAAAGAAGAAAAGAAAGGCTAATTACTAAGCAATAGAAGAAAAAAAAAAAAAAACAAAAGAAAAAGAAAAGTGAATAAAAAAAGAAGTTAGAAAGACAATTAACAAGCTTGTCATGAAAGGGTAAAGACCCTTTCATTACAGACTTTAAGTAGTTAGACAAGCAGCTTACTTTTGCTAAAAATAATATAACAAGTTGCACTTAGGTGCCATTAGGGTAGCCAGGTAATGCTAGGCTTAGTTGTTAGATAAATTTATATAATTACAGTAGTAGTTTCAAAAATCTTAATAAAACACTAGTGTGACTGCTTAAAAAAAAAAAAAAAAAAAAAATTCAAAATTAAAATTTTGAGTATATTAAAAGAATTTAAAGAAATATGAAACTATTTGACTATATTAAAATTAATTTAATAATTGCAAAAAAGCATTTAAAATATTAAAGATTAATAAAGAAACTTAAAAGAACTTCAAAATAATTAAATTGTGCAAAATTAAAATAAAAAAAACAAATTTTAATTATATTAAAACAATTTAAAGAAATGTGAATTTATTTGAATATCTTAGAATTATTTTAATAATAAAATAAATATACAAATTAATTTATTATTATTTAAAAATATTAAAATTGCTTTTATAAGATTAAAGCATATAAAATATAAATAGAAAGAAATTTTTTTTGCAATTCTATATTGTCTTCTCATAATATTTCTTTACTTATAAAATTTAATACTTACAAAATATTACAAATATTTATCATTTGTTAAAATATTTCACCTAAATTCACAAATATTTGCATATTTTTACAATAATAACTTTATTTTTCTATATCTGACATATTTATTATTATCTTTTTCTTCTTTTTCTTTTTTTATTTTTTTATTTTTTTTTACTTTTCTTATTTCTTTTTAAAATATTATTATTACTTTTTTTTGAAATTTAATTCTTTTAAACCATTTTAATTACGTTTGAAATATTTCACAAATCACTAAAATGCCTAAAATTACCAAAAAACAATTGAAATTCAAACAAGTTTTTGGCAGATTGATTGCAGGATCATCATTACAAACAACTGAAAAAAGAGAAGAAGTATTTTCTTTAAGAAGTAATGTTTTGATATTTGTTAAAAGAGCAGCTGAAACATTTGAGAATATAGAAGCAGCTGGTTCTGCTAAAAGATCTTCTAGAAGTGTTAAAAGAATTGTGCATCTATCTGAAGGTTATAAAATTACTATGAATATATTTTTTATATTAAATTTATATGAATAATTTCAATATTTTTATTTATTCTTTTATATAATTCAGAAAATCTTCTTTTAAAAATTTTTAAAAAGCTTACTAAATTATCTGAAAAAGTTGATAAAATTGAAAGACATCTAAATAAATTAGATGATAAAATTAATGAATCATATAATTTGTCAGCTGAAAATAATTTTATTAAAGTACTTGAAATTATTTTAGTATATATGAAATATTGCAATAATTTTATTAATAAAATATGTTTTATCTTAAATATTTAGCAATCAATAAAGCAATAGCAAAGGAAGTAATTGAATATTTGATTTATTTTTTTGAAAAAGAATTACAAGAGGCAACTAAAGCTTGGATGTTTGAAAATTATCTAGAATATTATAGTTCAATATCAGATAAAGTATGAAAAACATATTATAATAAAAACATTGCAGGGCCAGTAAATATTATTAAATAATATTTGAAAAAATGTGAATATATTCAAAAATTTTTAAAGTATTTTAAAAAAATTTAAAATGATTTACAAAATTTTAAAAACTAAAAATAATTTTATTTTAATATAATAAATTTAGCTTTTGAAACAGCATAGATCAGTGTAAAGTGGTCTAACATTTTGTATTAAAGATGCAATATTTGTAGTATATACTAAAAGCTAGTTAGATTTGATAAATACAAATGTGCCTTCTCAAGAAGTTGCTATATAGAAAGCTTTTACAAAAACAAGACAATGTTATAGAAAGCTTTTTAATAAAATTAATATCTGAAATCCAAATTCTGAAATTTATATGCAAAAAATTTTATCTAAGGTTTGACTATTGGTAGTGATGTGAGTTGGTAGCTACCAGTAGAGATCTACCACCAGTATCTACTGGTAGATACCGGTAGATAACATTAGATAATTAATACACAGGGTAGATACCATTAGTTAAAAATAGAAGCCAATAGAATTTATTCATTTATTATAATAATAATACGATTAATAAATATATGATACTAAAAGCTTATAGTCAAAAATCACAAGAATATTTCAACTTTTTTAATGAACAATTTTTTTAAAAAAACTGATTGATAACTTTATTCATAGGACTGAACTCTATAAATTCGACAGTCAATTTTTTTAAAAAAATTCTATAATTTGGTGCAGTATATCAAATACATAAATTTTATTAGCAAACCACAATCATAAGAAAATTGAACCGTTTTCTATAATTTGAGTATAAGCTTCTAGTATTTAAATATATTAGATATATATAACTTTAAGAAGCCTGTCAACAAAGTGATAGAGAGATTATTATTGCAAGACAGATGATTTAATGGTCCAGATTTGTCATTTACTCTTTTATGATTGTTCTTTTTTCTTTTAATGATGATTTAATTCACAATACAAGCTTGTATATGTAGGTAATTTTGGGTTAGTAGAATAATTGCATATGATTATTTAAAATTTGAATAGCTGGAAGTGTTAGTAATCAGTAATAGGAGTATGGAATAGCAATTATAGTTATATCATAAATGCAGAAAGAACAAGAATATTACTGATTTGTATAGAGGCACTTAAAGTTTCTTGACCTGAATACTTTTTTTTTTCACTATCACTCATTTTGTAAGGTTGGCTTTATCACAGCTTCCCTATCTAACCAGTTTATATATATAAAAAGATGAGACAATTATAGGCTTCATGGCTGTAGTAGCAGTACAAGAACCATTATATGCATGAGTCTTTTAGTGAATTCAAATAGAGCAACATATCTGAACCTCTCATAGCTATATGTTCTTTGGCAGAGCATACAGTATTAAACCTTATATTGTGTTTACCTTTTGCTTACACATAGAACATAGAGTAGAATATTGTTCGACTATTCATTGTTATGCAGACATTTTGAGTAAAGCCTTATTTCATTATTGTTTTCAGGTTTAGGTCCCTATAAGAATTGTTATATGTTTATATATTTATTTTTAGCACTTGAGTTAGTGCCTATAAAAAATAAATATATATCTAAAATTTCTGTAGATTTTAAGAATTTACCATCACTAATCCAAAATAAGAAAGTAATTGAGGTTCATAGTTAAGCATAAAATAAATAATAATTATAGAAGTAATTCTGTCCTGTAGAACCATATGAGTAATGTGATTGGTTAGATAACAATACTATATCGGTCAAATCTGCAATGTGGCACAAGAAAGTATATTAATAATTTGTGCTTCACGGATGATACGTAGTTTATTATCACATGTAAATTAAGAGTGCGTCATTGATAAAAAGTCTATTGTTCTAATAGACTCAAATTTAGTATATATAGAGGTAAAGAATTAATAATAAAGGTTAGCTTTTTCTCTCACTAGTAATTGACCAGTGCCCAAACATAAATAAATCACTACTTATCTGTGTGGAATTGACCCTGTAGTGTCTTGTGTGTTGTGAAAGTAGAGTTGTGTTAGGGTGTTGAGTAGTAAACACCATTGAAACCTTTATATTGTGGACTAACTGGTACCAAATCGAAGTGGTGCTCTTGTAATTAAGCTAGATCAATAGTAAGAATCCATCTACTACTAACCTGCACAACACTAATTCAAAATAAGCAAGTAATTAAAGGTAAGTTAAGCATAATTATAAAAGTAATAAGACTAAAAAAAGAATAGATTTAGTTTATGCGCATGATAAATTTAAAAGCCACTTAAAATTTACAAGTAAAAAAAAATTAGTAATCATAATTAAATAAAAAAAAAGCAAACTGCATAAAAGATTTCTATCGCAAAGCCAAAGTCTATAAAAATTTTGGGTTTGATAAATTTTTTAAATACTACAAAAATTAATATATAAAGGGAGTTTTTTTTTTTACCAATATTACTTTTAATAACGATAAAATGACTGATTCTGCTTGGAATGAATTTATAAAATATCCACCAACAACACCAAAAGAGCATCCAGTTGCCAAATGTATTCACTGTAATCATAAACTATCAGGCCAAGCACAACGTCTTCGTGTACACTTAGATTCTTGTCAAAAATATTCAAGTTTTTTAAATTCAAATCAAAATGAATTTAATTTATTATCTGGCACTATTACTCAAAAAGACCCTAACTTACCACTTGATCCTTTCTTGTTACGTCAATTAAACCCTATTGAAAAACAAACAATTGACAAAAAAATTGCATGCACATTTTATGCAAATGGTATTCCACATGCATTAATTGAAAATGATTTTGTTATCGCAGCTTTAAAATCACTTCATCCTACTTATAATCCACCATCCCGCTGGTTACTTAGCAATAATTTGTTAATTAATAAATATAAAGAAATTAAAGAACAGATTCAAAAAATTTATTCTAAAAAAAAATTATTTCCATCTCAACAGATGGATGGTCGAATCAACACAACGAATCAATTATTAATTATATGACTTTAACAACACACGGACCAATTTTTTTTAAATCAATGGCAACAGAAACTCATTCTCATAAAGCTGAATATATTGCAGAAAGAATTCAAAAAGTTATTTTAGAATTTAAAGAAAATTTTGTAGTTTCAGTTGTAACTGATAATGCAGCTAACATGCGTGCAACTTGGAATATTCTTCATACCAAATTCCCTTCTATTCTTTTTTATGAATGTGTAGCACATTCAGCAAACCTGATCATTTCTGATATTTTTAAAAAATCTAATTCTACTGATAATAAATTACAATAGGCGCATAATACATTAGAAATAGCAAGTAAAATTACTAATTATTTTAATTCCCATCAAGTAGTAAAAGCATATCTTCATGAAACTCAAAAACAAGAAATGAATAAAACTGTCGCATTAGTAAATCCTGTAAAAACAAGATGGGGAACTCAATTGGCATTACTTGAAAAATTATTAGAGTCAAAAAGCAGTATTCAGGTATTTATTTAATAATATATATATATAAACTATAAAATA